AGAGAGTCACGCCGAGATTTTGACTTCCAATATCATACACAGCATGTATTCTGTAACATGAATAAAGAACGCCCATTTCGCACTAATGGAATACTTTATATACATTTATGTTAACATATTCCCTGTTTATGAACACCTTGTGCAAGGCATACATTTTCGACAAGAATAGTTTCACTCGTATTGCACCTCCAGATACAGCATTGAATCATAATTGTGAACTAAGAGAAGCTTGCTCCCTGAGGTTTCTATGTCTTTTAACAGGTTTTTTGCCCATTATTTCTAGGAGGTTTATGACCTCTCGCTTTCAGCGGTTTAATTTTTATTTATTTATTTATTTTTTTTTTTTTTTTTTTGAAAAAATATCTGGGCTGTCATGTTTTTAAATACGATTCCAACTAATGATTTATTTGCATGACTGCGGCATGTGCACCAAACAAACAGGGAAGCATGCCGTCAGATAAACATCCTTGTTTACGGTTATAAGGAAGACTTAAACACCGTTTGATCTGTGTGTGTGAGTTTATCAACCACCTTACACTGTGTTAAGATCTGTAAAATACAAATCTACATATCTGATTCAGGCTTACTTTGATCAAACAAATAAAAGTTAAAAAACCAGAAACTTTCTTGCCAAATTAAAATAATAAAAAGTTTAACGTGTATTCAAAAATCGGTAACTTTGGTCAAGGGTATATCACTATGGTCTACAACAAGGATCAATAACGATAGTATACCGCAACGATAAATATATATGGTCCACAACAAGGATAGATAAATATGGTCTACAACAAGGATAAATTGATATGGTCTACAACAAGGATAAATATATATGGTCTACAACAAGGATAAATAAATATGGTCTACAACAAGGATAAATAAATATGGTCAACAACAAGGATAAATATGGTCTTCTACAAGGATAGATAAATATGGTCAACAACAAGGATAAATAGATATGGTCTACAACAAGGATAAATAGATATGGTCTACAACAAGGATAAATATATATGGTCTACAACAAGGATAAATAAATATGGTCTACAACAAGGATTGATAAATATGGTCCACAACAAGGATAAATAAATATGGTCAACAACAAGGATAATTAGATATGGTCTACAACAAGGATAAATAGATATGGTCTACGACAAGGATACATATATATGGTCTACTACAAGGATAGATAAATATGGTCTACTACAAGGATAAATAAATATGGCCTACGACAATTATAAATATATATGGTCCACAACAAGGATAAATATGGTCCAAAACAAGGCTAAATAGATTTGGTCTACAACAAGGATAGATAAATATGGTCCACAACAAGGATAAATAGATTTGGTCCACAACAAGGATAAATAAATATGGTCTACAACAAGGATCAATATTGTGCTTTGTAACAAGAAACAAATGCTGTGCAATGATTGCCTCTTGCATTTATAGGTTTAACAATTTGAACACTTAGCCTCGCTGTCCTCCTAAGACATGCCAGCTGTGTCATGCATTTTAATTTATCATTTCGGTATGTATTTAACTTAATATTTATATTGAAAAGTGCTATTAATTTTTTGGTCTATTATACAATCTATGGTCTAGGACTACATAAGTATCATTTAGAAAAGCGGATATATTCATGACTGTTAGATCAAAAGAGAACCCAGTTTAAAAATTAAACATCCTTTACAGCCTTCAGATATTTAGAACAGTTAGTTATAACAGTTATTGAAACAGACACCGATGAAGTGATATCTTGTACTGTAGGAAACATAAATATATTTCATTTGTTCACCATTACAGTGTTTACAAACCTCTTTTCATCTAATATTTATAGTTCCCCATGCTGACTGTACGTAAATTTACGTAGAGTTAGTCAGCTGTAGATTTACGTGCAAATCTCACGGGCTTTCGTCTAGGACATTTCAATGGTATTGTTTCTACAATACTGAGTGGAGCAATATCGAGTTGGCAACGTAGACGGTAACAGTGTACGGAGAGTGTGAGGTCTCACAAAAGTCGATTCGGATACGCTTTGTTGAAAACTTCTATATGTGCAAGAGAATGTGGGTCTCATCATCACAGTTGTTTAGAAATATAACGTAACCCGCTCTGTATGATGAATCAACTTGGTGAAAGTAACGCAAAATCCAGAGAAAAATCACGAAAGAATAAAGTGAAAAGGGCAAGTTGTCAGTCCCAATATAAACGAGAGAGACATCCAAAGGTTATACTATGACGATGGCATTGTAGTACCCATTAAAATCTCTCAAGACGTTTCGACATAACCTACTGCACCCCATGGAAGAAACATTGGGGAATGTCAAGGACTGTGTATACAAACTCGGATGCTTGAGCTGTGCCGCATCGGATATCTGGATAATGATAATTTATGCTCTCACAGTTGCGAATTAGGTATAAGAAATTAGAAAACAAATTATTGTAAAACTTTTTTTTTCTGTTTAACATGGGTAACATCCTTAATTAAAGTTAATAACCCAAGTATACCTCAGAATACATCACAGCCTAGACAAGTATATCTTGATCCTATCACAAAATCATTTAGGCTCCTTATTAACATTTTCAATTTATTTTGCGGTTAACGGTATATGAAATGCAGAGAAAATACATCATGTCTTGAGTGGATCGGATCAACTGAACAGATACACTAGACAATAACGAGATTCAAACCTACTCCACCAACCGAACCTCAAGAAATCATAATGAAGGAACTCTCCTTGTACATTCTTTGTTCATAAATATGTGACATTATCATTATGAGAAGTATATTAATTACAAATGGACGTCTTTCAGTGTATACATGTTCACAAAATGATAGATTGCCTGTCAAGAAAGGATGCTAAATGCTTCGGTAAACGGAAGGAATGCACAATGATGATATGAAGGAAAAACGTCAGAATGGTCAAGTGGTGATTGATGTTTCCGGAGCTACATGTATACATGTTTTCCCACGTGCCTAGCAGCACGTGCCTTATGGCTGAAAACCTCCGCTGTGACCCCACTGATTGTTGTCTCATTTGCATTGTGCCTGGGTAAGGTTTCCTACGTACCATACTTCTGTTTCCTCATGCACAAGCGAAATGAAGCCACAGGAAACTCAAATACCAACATCTTTTATTCGAGTATGACAGAGTCCTAAGATAATGCAGAGTTAACATGAATCCAACAGATACACTTTTCGACTATTGACATTCATACAGCTTCAAAATCATGTGGTATTCATCTCTTTATTGCGAATGGAGCATGCTTACACGACTGAGTTCGGTAATTAAGCACCCTCCTTCCTCCAGTTCTATTTACAAGTAATTGTGATGTAATAGGGTGCTCACAGCATTGAGATATATACGGAAACAATGTTTAATTTTGTTTTAACTGGAATTGCTTCTGGCCAAATATGTAACGCACTGATCTGAAATTAGCAAGTAATCCCTCGGATATCTCGATGGCATTACATAAGAATGTACGTATACAATGTATTAATTACTATAGGAAAGACCCCTCTCGGAAAATATGGATTTACATTCACTTTGAATGTGTTTTCTTCTTTGTAAACAGGTTTCCTTTTAGTGCCGTTAAAACCCTTCAACATGTACGAAGCTTCGTTCAATTACAAGAGTAATAATTTTCGCAGGAATATAACAAATCCGTGAGCACATGTTTCAGACATACAATGTATATGTATGATCCACTTTTGTGAGGGAATTTTACCAGCGAGCGGAAACCAAAGCTTATAGATAAGTCACATGATCCGTGTACATCTTACTCTCCTTGCTTTGATTTAATTGATAGATAAGGGAGATAAAAGGACGCTGTTTTTCGATGTTATGTTTCGTCATTATACGAGCTTCGCTACGACAACCACTCGACAGGGGGTTGTTAACGCTCGTCCTAAGTATGAGCGTTGCAGGGGATGTCGGCGAGCGTGGGTTTACTTGTGATGAATAGTTTAAGAGTTGTTAAATGTTTTGATAGGTTTCCTTAGTGTGGTTAGATTAAGACAGATTTTCTGGAATTATTTGTCGAAATACAAGTTGCATTTATAATACTACAGCGGCTTTCTTCTGTTAGGCCAATTATGTATTCGGCATCGCAAGACTGGGTGCTGTTCGGAAGGCCTCCCAAAGATACACATCCAGTTACGAGCATCAATTAAGTAGTGACGTTTTTGCTCACCCGAGTGACATTCAAACTGGCTCAAACTCATTTGATTTCATTTGCCTAGTGTACAACAGTGCCCAAGGGTATCTAATCCCCACTCGAACTATCCACAAACGATTGCGTGTATGCCATGATGTGTTTCGCAATACTTTATTGAGTCTAAGGTTTATGGGTTTTGGACAGACCTGATGAAGTCAGTTCAATACGCGTTGCAGATCAACCTCATTCGAATGCTTTGAATAAATCCATATTACATTGACATCAAACACGGCCGCTGTTGGAATTATTCCTCTTAAGGTTTTAAATGTCTGTCAAAAACACATTTCGTGCGAGAATTCAAGCCCCTGTTAGACTATGCTGGGACCCGCTATAATACACTATTTTATTGGCATCAAAACAACCACATGACGTAATATGCCCGCTGCTTGTCATTCCGTCACTGAGTGGAATACTTTTGTCTTAATATAACTAGACCTTCTGGTATCGAAGGGATGTTCAGTTGGCTACACACATCATTCTTCACGTATGAGATTAATAAATTATGTCGCCATGTGCAATATGAAGTCACGACGGTAGATACGAATCTGCTACAAGTTTAAGATCTATTGCGGGTAATATTGGTTAGGAATGTCAAAGTTTCACTCGTCATAATGCTAAAGATAAATACCTGACCTTTCAGGGAAGAATACGTTTTGTTATTGGACTAGCATAGATAAAATACACTCAAACAGAGATTCGACATAACCTTGCACTCATAATACATACCGTCTAAACGCAGCTGAATGCGATATTGGCAACACCAGCCATAGTTACAAAGCGTTTGACTACATATGTCTGTAGCTACATTTACATCATATTTTACTCTAAAATAATATCAGAAATGGAGTTTCTCATAAAGTGTTGAAAACATTAATAGGAATGCTTCCGAAACTGGATGTTTACTTTTTATGTTTTAAGACGTATTATTGTATAGCATTACTACGATGCAACCTTACCAAAATCACTTGTGTAATACCAGCTCATGTTAGATAGTGTTGGAATATTGCAAGTTCTATGAGCAAATTAATATTGTCTTCCCTTATAAGATGGAAATTCTAAACGGTAAATATAAGCCCGCTTCTTGTTGAATTTTCTTTTATACTGTTAGCATTCATAGTTCATGAATGTCAAATAAAAAAGTTCAATGTTGATATTTATAGATTTCTAAACGCATACCTCTGATATAGAACCACAACTGTTAAAATCAAGCTTAACTAGAATAAATAACTCAATATGTATAGGTAGGCAGCATATTGGAATAAGTACTTAGAATTTCATGAGATTTCAAATCTGTTGATTTAATCATGCAAAGTTCAAATAATCGGAGATCAGACCATAGTGACAAAATAAAAACCATAATGTTTGTTTTTGAAATTTTGATTTTTTTATACGTGTAGAACCCGTTTACTGAAACACACATACGATAACGTACATAGCGATGTACAAAATTGTACATCTCCAGTAATTGACACGGAAATATATGAATGCGTGGAGAGTAAATCTAGACGTGTCTAATACAATATATATTGACGCAATTAAAAAATCCTCAGCCGCTATCACAACCTGTACAATGATTTGGGCTCAATCGAATCTGGAAGATATTTCCTCCGAAAACGACGTTTTATTGTGACCGGAAATTGTCCCGCTACCTAAGCGGAAGTGAGCTAGTGCTTCCATTTCCGAGGGCCTGCGATGATGACGTGATATTCAGCCCGCAGTAAATATTGCCATCGTGTCATTATTGGTCATCCTTGAACCACAAAACTGATTTAGTCGTTTTCGGTAGACATAGGTCGGTGGCCTATTCTAGAAGTCTACTTTAGAATCTCTAAAAAACACTATAACGTTCTCGACCAAAACTGCTGCTTGAAGTATAACAGGAAGAATATATATCACATGTGGATGTTTGAATTTACTCTTATGCAATTGAAATACTTTCAAAATCTCCAGATAGTTAGACTTTCACTGTAACTTTAAATGACGAAATATTTATGATATTCAACAAATTTACACATTTTAGTTCACATTTTTAAAAAACCATTTAATAGATTTCTGACATCTACATTTGTATGATTTGATTATAGCAATGATCGCGTCCTGTTTTTGTCATGTATGGTGCCAATCAGTACTTTCCCGGGATAACAGGGACTCCCGGGTGAGTACTTTATTAATCTGTGTTAGTGTGATGAGTAATGGGTGTTCTGTATATCAAGGGTATGTATACATAATGGTGTATTTACAACATCACGTCACTTCCAGATTCTACCACTGTAATGAGACTCAATACGTGTTCCCCTAGCATGACAAGCATTCTTTGTCTGACAATATTTATTTATCCCGAAGCCTGACGTGTGTTCTTTTATTACTGAGAAAACATATCCTATTCCTAGGTGAACCGAGCCGTGAATCAACAGCATACTGAATATTGGAGGAAATGCGCCATATTTACGTGTCTCCTGTACACGTGCTAGACCTGTTTGTGACTCAACGTCATGTAGTTCCCTGATCTATACTAAATTCGAAGTGTCTAACCCCGTTTGATTCGGAGTGTACTTTCCGTGTCTGATGTCCATGGTATTCTCGGCAGGGATACTTATAAAACTTCCCATATGGTCGTTCTCGCTTCTCCCTTCAGAGAATTCTATCACCCATCCCTCTCCCCTAACCCATTTTGCCACCAACAGACACATATGTCATTCAGGACCTGTCGATGGCAAAGTATCAGGAGAATTAAACGAAATTTGGAGCGGAGAGCATGTCTGCGGTCGGGAACATCAGCATGTTATAAACATGTCTCTGTGAAATTTGTGTCATGCCAACGGAAACTCAGATTTATTAAGAAATTGGTCTATGAAAGAAAAAATCATTTTAAGAATGATCCCTTTTCTATAGAAATTCACGTTAATTTGATTCCCTACCAATTTTTTTCTTCCTATTTCATTACAAAATGTATATCAGTAATTGTATGTTGATGGCAAGACGAGCTCGTGTGTCTGTGCCTTATACTTCATGTATTTTATGTAGTTCTGTAATTGTCCTTTATGGTGTGATAAGTGTGATGGTGATTATAGGTGTAAACGTAATCTTACAACAAGCTATCAGCTTATACTAACGACTCTTGTGGGAGGAAACCAGAGTACTTGGAGATAACACGTAGTTGCGCAGGTCGCCCTTATTCCTTATGCATGTCAACTCGTGGCATCAAACCCCGGACGTCTAGGCGAAAGGCTAGTGATTAAAACTTTTCCATTCTACCACCCTCGCGGTAATAATTTGTAGGGCAATGACTTCAAGAACTGTTTATTTGTGACATTTGTGGACAGACACTTTTTCATTTGTAAAAGGCGTCAAGTCATTTCAACTGTTGCCATATGACAAAGAGTCAATTCTTCAAAACAGAGAAAACAGTAATCTGCAGGGAATTAAATTTCCATGACAAAGAGTCAATTCTTCAAAACAGAGAATACAGTAACCTGCAGGGAATTCAACTTTCAGTCTGTGATAATTTTCTATTGCGTTCCATTCTTATTCATATGTTTTCAAAATACTGAGGTGCTTCGTCCTTTCTATCCCGTTCGAATAACCAAGTTATACAGCATTGAAGAAAAGATATGAAATACAGCTTTATGGACTGTGACATTTGTCTGTAAGTATAATGGTCAGCCTCGCAGGGAACAGCTGCTGTATCATGTAGACGGCGGAACAGTAATATCCCGTGAGGCTACTCTTTTCGCGATCTTAGCTTCGACTTCCTGACAGAATAAATTAATATTGTATTGTTTTCAACTTATCTTTCTTACAGTTATGGCCGTTGGGTTTGAAAACTTTCTCAAGATATTGATTAAAATGTTTAAATTGTTTACACCTACTTGGCTATGAAACCACTTTTTTCGTGAGCCTTGGTCCAACAGTTACTGCCACAGTCTGAAAAAGTCATTAGTACACGTCTTAAAAATACAATAGGATTCAAAAAGTTCTATAATTGTCATTGATTGCCTGAGGGGCATTCGTGTCGCACCGACAAATTTAGTTTGTTGTATGGAAAGGTGATGATCAACTGTTCGAAAGTACGAGTACATTTATGTTAGATTGTTGAGTTTGCACTTTGATGCATACCAATGAATATCTGCTTCAATATACGGCTTGTGGAACGTATACATTAATTGTACGTCACATGGAATACTTATCACCGCATCACGTTCGATTTCGACTTTGTGGTAAAGTTTAGGTAGCAGGCACGCCATTGATTAATGAAACATTCATGGAACATGTTAGTAATCAATTTGTGAACTACGAACTGTAGTTTTATCTTTGCCGACTCTGTGAGATATCACAGTCTGATTCTAGGTATGCCTTTTGAAAATAAGTTGTAATATAGAGTTTGGAATAAATATTTAACAGATCACGCACTCAACCAGCGAACGTCATGTGTAGTGTTTCAAGGTATAGTTATTTTCCCCACATGTTAGCTGTATCTAAGTAAACAACTATGCGTCAACGTGTCTTATTTGTTGATATTTGATGAAGCCTTTCTATACTGTCAAACATTAAGGTCTAGCTACAAATATCAAACGTTAAGGTCTAGCTACAAATATTAAACGTTAAGGTCTAGCTACAGATATCAAACGTTAAGGTCTAGCTACAGATATCAAACGTTAAGGTCTAACTGCAAATATCAAATGTTAAGACCTAGCTACAGATCTACATATATCAAACGTTAAGACCTAACTACAGATATAAAACATTAAGGTTTAGCTACAGATATCAAACGTTAAGGTTTAGCTACAGATATCAAACGTTAAGGTTTAGCTACAGATATCAAACATCAAGGTTTAGCTACAGATATCAAACATCAAGGTTTAGCTACAGATATCAAACATTAAGGTCTAGCTACAAATATCAAACGTTAAGGTCTAGCTACAAATATCAAATGTTAAGACCTAGCTACAGATCTACATATATCAAACGTTAAGACCTTACTACAGATATAAAACATTAAGGTTTAGCTACAGATATCAAACGTTAAGGTTTAGCTACAGATATCAAACGTTAAGGTTTAGCTACAGATATCAAACGTTAAGGTTTAGCTACAGATATCAAACATCAAGGTTTAGCTACAGATATCAAACATCAAGGTTTAGCTACAGATATCAAACATTAAGGTCTAGCTACAAATATCAAACGTTAAGGTCTAGCTACAAATATCAAATGTTAAGACCTAGCTACAGATCTACATATATCAAACGTTAAGACCTAACTGCAGATATAAAACGTTAAGGTCTAACTACAGATATCAAACGTTAAACTCTAACTACAGATATCAAACGTTAAGACCTAACTGCAGATATAAAACGTTAAGGTCTAACTACAGATATCAAACGTTAAACTCTAACTACAGATATCAAACGTTAAGACCTAACTGCAGATATCAAACGTTAAGTTCTAGCTTCAGATATCAAACGTTAAGGTCTAGCTACAGATATCAAGCATTAAGGTCTAGCTACATACATCAAACGTTAAGGTTTAGCTACAGATATCAAACGTTAAGGTCTAGCTACATATATCAAACATTAAGGTCTAGCTACAGATATCAAACGTTAAGACCTAACTACAGATATCAAACGTTAAGGTCTAGCTACATATATCAAACGTTAAGGTCTAGCTACAGATATAAAACGTTAAGGTCTAACTACAGATATCAAACGTTAAACTCTAACTACAGATATCAAACATAAAGGTCTAACTACAGATATCAAACGTTAAGGTCTAGCTACAGATATCAATTCTTAAGGTCT